ATGATTTACTTCTTAGTAGTCACTAAGTAAAAACAGTAAGGAAATTGGTAAATATTGTTGATATAAAGGCAAGGTAGGCAACATTTTGAATAGGCCAAGTGGACTGATTATATGGGGGGGTTGAACCGGCAGTTTAGGGGGTTGAACCGGCGGTTTAGGGGGTTGAACCGGCGGTTTAGGGGGTTGAACCGGCGGTTTAGGGGGTTGAACCGGCGGTTTGGGGGGTTGAACCGGCGGCCGCCGGCAAAATAGCGCTAATTTCGCGCACTGTGGTGAGAATCGGACAAAAATGTAATGATCAATCGTTACACTCACAAACTGATTGATTATCGATAAATCATCAATAAAATTATGATGATAACTAAGTGAACACTATGATAGTGGTATTAGTTCAGATGTTATTAATGTTCAACATTTAATGTCTTCAGCGTTTAAATCAATTTAGAATAGCTCACTGAGTAGAAGTCGAGTTGAAACAATCAACAAAGCTATACCTTAATTATTGTTTGCTATTTGTGGTTGTGTCTTTCACATTTTTATGGTCCTTAGTAGCCTTCTTCAAGAGATGTGGCAACTGAGTACAACTCAATCATGAACTTGAAAATTGAAATGTACACAAGTAGGCCTTAGTACGTACAGCGAGCGCTAGATATACACAGGAGATAATGAGATAAAGGTTATCTCATTAACTCCTGATACACACCGTGCTGGGTTTACACTGCCGATTATATGCAGTCAAGTTGGCGGTTTTCTTTTTTGACCCGTAGGCGGGGTGAGGCGGATACGCATTTTTGCATGTATTACATGCTGCCAGTGTGGCGCCTAAAGCAAAAACGTGCTCTTAGGGTGGAGGGACACACCCCTGATTGCTGTTGTCTGATTGGCCACTTGGCAAAAAAACGTCCAACTCGCCCTCTCCGAGTTAGGGAAATTAGAACATGATCTAATCTTCCGACTCACTGCTATCGATCGGCTGGACGTGCGACTTTTGCGTTTACACTGCCGATTGTCAGTTGCCAAACTGCCAAGTTCGTACAATTTGGCAACTCAAAATCGTCAGTGTAAACCCAGCTTATGTATCCGCTGCAACTGGCGCTGGCTAGATCAACCCACTGACGCATAATGAAATACAATTGATAATAAAAGTTATAAAACAGAGTGTAGAACTAGAAACTGTTGACACTTTCATTCATATTTAAATTTAACTTGACAATAATTATAATACCAGCTGAATCCAGCTCTTGCCTTGTATTAATCTGCAATATGATGTGGTGACAATTGCATTCATACATTGTCTGTTGAAACTATGAATGATAGTCAATGATAAACTATATGCTGACAGATGTGATGTGATGTCACAGACTCACAGGCACACATCTCTGTGAGACTGTGACAAATTAATCGTGTACTTTTTTATTTTGAGACTGAAAAAAGAAACAAACAACTGCACAGTGGTATTTTTATATATAAAAAAACGTTTATTTGCATCTAAACGAAAAGAACGCGGTTCAACTTCATACTGTATGTTTATTACAGAGTAACAAAACAATAAGCAATCTAGAGGTAATGACTAGTGAAGCATGTGTACATGTAGAGAGAGAAGAGTGAGAACTGAGAAGGGGAGTGGTGGACAGAATGGTAGTATGGTACTATGATAGAACTTAGAAGATGGGAGAGGTCCGACCGTCAGAGGTGTCAGAGCCTTGGAGACAGCATTGTGAATGCGAATCGATTCAAAGGATGTTTGGATCATGAGTTACAAGTGTGATTAGTGATATATGTAGTAATGTAAATATAATTATATGTATTAACAGAAAATTTGACACACTCATGGAATTAATAATGCATACAATTTACATTGATGTCCCCATCCCCACAAATAAAATAAGAGTACATTATATATATTGATTATATTACGTATTTTTCGAAAATTTGAAACTATGAAAATGGCTCTGGTAAATTTTTGACAAGTCAGAAAAATGGCTCTGGTAAAAAAATAAAGTATTTTTTACTCTGGCAGGGCAGTGTTATGAAATGTGCTTAACATTGCCGTGTTTACTATAGTATTGATAATGATAAATGCCCTGTTTTCCAAAAATACGAAGGTATGTATGAGTCAAACATCTTACAAACTAAATGCAAACTTCATGAAGCAAGTGTAAGACAATTTTAATCAACACGTAGGTTTTTATAATGCTTCTGTAAAAGTAATTAGTGGTTAACTATTTAATATAACAGCTATATAACTACTATACTCTTAAATTCTACAGTATTGCTTCTCTTTAACCATATATATATAGATAGAGCACAGCCTGCAAAGATATATGTGTAAGTGACTATTACTGTATATTTGACGTTTTACCACGCTTTCCAGACCTTTAACCATGAACCTTGAGAAATATTTCTGTTGTCTTCTTCCGAAAAACTTGCCAGTTTCATTTTGAGAAATCGTACTAGTAAGAATATGTTACATATTAAAACATATTTTGTAGGATTAACCACAGTTTGGCTTATGGTAAGTCTGAGTACTTCCGCTGTCATCTTTTTCAATATTCCGTGTGTTCATTTGCAACATTGAAAGATGTAAGTTATACATTTACTAAAAATAAGTGTAATGAGTTTAGTGCATGTTAAGCTGTACGTCCAGGTAAACCTTAGTGTTCAAACCTGCATTACATTTCCAATGTATTATTTTGCTTTTTTAGTGTGAGAGACAGAGACTACTAAAGTTCTGCGGAAGTGCTTTGTTTTAAAGATTCTGTTGTAACCATAGTGAGGCTCATAGGGTCTATGTCCCCCAGGGTACTGCCGGAACGTACCCTGGGTACGGTCCGGTATACCGGAACCGCGGAACGTAGCCTGGTAACTATCTAGCTGATATGGTTAGGGTTAGGGTTAGAGTTAGGGTTAAGGTTAGGGAGTAGGCGTAGGCGACTCCCTAGACTCGTTAGTGGAGTAGGCGAGGTACGGTCCGGCATATTAGATAGTACCAGGGTACGTTCCGGCAGTACCCTGGGGGACATAGACCCTATCTGCCCTAGTGAGTCCCTCATCAGTAGGGGCAGCACCATAGCTTCATGCCTACGGTGTTATAGTTCAGATTTGCACTGCTATGATACCTCTCCATTAGATACCTAACCTACACTTATAAATATATAATTGTAAACTTGTTGAGCATATATATAATTATTTCATTATTTATGACTGAATTGCCTCATTCATATATAACGTGACAGTGACACTGCATATATATATATATATAGCATGTTTGCAGTTGTCACCCAGCTCTCAATAACCAATGGTTAAAACTTGTATCACGGGTTTTGCAAGATTTATTATGAGCACATCTGTGGCAGAATCTTCCAGCTATAAAATATTCATTGTAAAAGTTGTAGCGATGTAGCTTCAGTGGAACAATACCGTTGCTGTTGCTGTCTCTATTGTGTCACTATATTGTCTGTGTCACGCCCCCCCCCCCCCAAATATATATAGGTGGAGCTAGCCATGTACACGGACTGCCTTTCATGCTACTATTCAGAAATTTACAACTTACTCATAATGTACTATAATTTAAAATGTGTGGGAAACACACTGTATAGTTGCAAATTAATTACCATGCATCTACACAGATGAACACACACTACACTGATACACACTGATCACACTGGATGTACACTGGAAGCCGGCACTACTATATATATATGCAATGCTGGTGTGTTCATATGGTTGTTGGCATAATCAGCATGGGGCAACCCCGCACATGTGGGGTTCAGTTCAAGAGCGTGCTTATTGTTCTTTTAGCATTGCTGTGCAGGCTATTACTCATGCATCAATCAATAACTATATTGTGACTCATGTCCTGTTTGTAGTTGAGCGCGCCTAGGTGGTAGGGTAGGCTCTCCCTGCCTGCCGCACACAGCCGATGCCGTGACAGCAGCCGCTCATACAGTGTCGCAGGGGAAGCAGACTACTCATGTGCTGCTGCACATCATGGCATGTTTGCCCTTAAAAACTCAGGCTTTCATGATGCGCACTAATATTATTACTAACATTGTAAATAATCTGGTTTATCTCTCTCCCTTCCTTCCTCCATTCCTCCCTCCCTCCCTCCCTCTCTTCTTCCCTCCTGCACCTTTTATACACCAACAATTATGTGGGTGCACGCAAAGCACTAAGTAAGATTATTCTAAAGGCTAACTCAGGTCGCCCTTACGACCTAGTCGCCGACAAAATTTGAAGATCGTACGTCAAAAACCGGCCAGATCGCCGATAAAAACATCGGCGACTAAACTCGACATGAGTTCTCTTACGATCGAAAATACGGTTACCGACTGCGATCGCAGGAATAGAACATGTTCTATTTCTATGCGGCGGTCGGCGACAAATCGTGAGTGGCAACCAATCACCGCTACGTGTCGAGTCACATGATTATCAAAAGTCACGTGATTAACAAAATGGCAGCCTACATAGCAGTTTACAAGGAGGGATTATTGCACAAACTGCAAACGGCACTGGGGCTAATCACAAAAGTGCAATTATATTTACACCTAAATGCTATTTAACCGAACGATATTCATTTTAGGGCAAATTTATCCATATTATAACTGAAACTATATGTCGTTTATAGGATATTACAATCCTTTTGCTTTTAAATGAATAAATAAGAAACACCTTTGGTCTGTAGCCCTTGGCTGGAAATTGTTTTTGCGCAACTTATCAGATCGTGCGCTTTGAGTGGCGCCACCGTCGTTGTAATCAAACTGCTTATCGTCTAGTTTCTAAAAACATTAAAAAAAAAATTTCTAATGGTGATTGAACCATGAAACTTTTTATGTAGCGTAATTATAACCTAAATTAGCTGAAAATAACCCTAGAACCTAGAGTAAACTCTCCATTTAAGCAGCTAGGTGGTACTAGGTCATTCAGTATCTAACTTGTTTTGTGATCAACGTGTAACAGTGATCAATGTAATTGCAGGGCAGATGTGAGTAAATATTTACATTGCACAGTGACACTTCCAGGTTGAGTTTTTCAGCGATCTAGTCATTTTCTAGTACCTTGTAAATGATCTTGTGAAAATCCCCGTATATAATTGAGGCTAGAGTATAGAGTACAAGGTTTGATCATTGCCCTGACCCCAGATTATCCTACATAAGTGATAGAAATTATCCTCTATTGTTGTTATTTTTGTTGCAGGTTCATCCCCAGCGTGTTCTCTCGCAATCCTGGGCGTATATTTCCGTAAAGAGCTAGACTGTGCCACTACAAAACGGGTGTGAGGTAGCTGCGTGTGCAATCCTCACTACCAGTGAGGGCTGCCACTAGGCGGCGCCACAGGTCGTGCTCCTGTGTAGCGATCTATAGACGATTTTCCACCCCCTCTGGGACAGCCACCAGGTGGTGCCACTGCAGCTGCAGCCATGACAGCACTCAACAGTCTCTTCTCGTTCACAAGTCCAGCCGTGAAGAAGCTGCTAGGATGGAAGCAGGGTGATGAGGAGGAGAAGTGGGCGGAGAAGGCGATTGATTCTCTCGTTAAGAAGCTGAAGAAGAAGAAGGGGGCGCTGGAGGACCTGGAGAAGGCACTCAGCACACCTGGACAGCCGAGCAAGTGCGTGACGATACCACGCTCGTTAGACGGCCGTCTGCAGGTGAGCAGTACACTGCCATGGCTTCTACAGTGAGAAGCATCTATGTAGAGTGCAGTATCTGCGCATTAACGCACACACTGATGCTGGTATCTATTCTGGTGCTTCATGCTGGTCTGTGTCTCAACGCGATCAAGTTGCGAATCCAATCAAGATTCAGACCGGCATGAAGTTTGAGTGTCCAATTGTTGTTCACAAGGGACATGGAACTCTCATGTGGTTACCGCGCCTACACGCTAGTGTTGTTAATCGGTTGTAATTTCGTAATCGGTCATCGGTTGGACCCAAGTAACCGATGATCGGTTACAGTCGGTTACTCGGGGTGTTGAATGCCTGCGTGTGCGTAACGTTGTGTGCATGTACGTGTGTGCATGTATGTGCTTGTTTAGCCAGCGTATGAAATCCCTAGTGCTGTAGTGTGTCCTAGGCTTTAGCCCCTCAACAGGAAGTAACTGCGGCGAATTTCGGGTGATTCCCGAACTAAAATAGCGATGATATCTCTGATTCTCATCAGTTTTCCAAGTTTTACATTTATTTCGATTTTTTTTCCGATGAAATCGATTATGGATTTTGATAACCAAGCGCTTGGTTCGAGCCACTGTTCAACCAATGATCGAGTATAATTCAGTCTGCGAAATTAACCACTGGCCCGGTATCCGAGGCCAGTAAATTTTCCATGGAGCCCATGAAACTGGTAAATGAACAAGTCTGATGGGCCAGTGGAAAAAAATGAAGTAAATGGTCTATTAAAATGATCTTTCAGCTTCTTTATGTGATGATCAGTGTGAGAATTTACAAAAATTCCCGATATTTTGCATGAAAATTTACCAATATTTACCGATAGGGCATCATATTCCCGATCTTAAGTAGGGGAAGTAACTAGTCAACACCATGCATGTTTGTCGCCGCTAGAGGTCGCAACAACTTCCGGTTTCCGGTCGGTTTGGTTTTATCTTTTCTATATATGATGATCATTGATTCGGGCCGTGTAAAACCTAGTGTGGGCCAGTG